AACTACCTACTATCTCAACTACCAAACTAAAATCCTTGAAAAGAAAGTGCAACAAATGAAAATAAGGGAAACTGCGATATGATGGTGATTCTTTTTCAAAACCAAAGGTCGGTTGCCATTAAACGGAACAAACTTTTCTGCTATTTGATTTTTTGAAATGCTCCAAGAGCTGCTAAACATTTGAATGCCGTTTGTTAGCTCCACTTGTCACATTATGATCCAATATCTTTGCTGACTGGTTAATGGGAACTCAAAGGTTTTCAAAAATCACATCTGAGCTGGAGACTCATACAAGTATAATAAAGTAAGCACAGTAAAAAGCTCGAATATGGCGTCTACACGCAATTCGCACACAACATTACATAATCTAAGCCCAAACTTTTATGCTGTTTTCAAACCGGAAACCGCTTGCAAAACTGTTGCCACCGTTCTGCCATCTTCTCATCAAAATAAATGGTGTCAAGTCTTATATTATAGATAATTTCCCACTAAGATATGAAATGGTGCCAGATGCTTGCTACTGACTATCGCTCAAAATGGCATTAATGAATCAAAGAAATGACATCCGTATGAAGAATTTTGCATGTTTAACACCAGCTGCGTGTACGGGTATTGAGACTCCTACAGCGCAAAAGTGCTAGATTATTGTGGGAATGCCTTGTACATTTTTCTGTCGTATCAAATCATTCTTCTACTCCCAGCATCTTGTCTTTCGAATCTTCTTTGGGACTGCACGTTATGGAACTTTCACATTTTTTCAAATGAAAACGTTTGAAAAATGAGAAAGTGTACCAAAATATATAAAATGGTAAAATTATACAACACGTAAGATTTTGATTCGAAAACCCTTTCACTTCTGCACCTTCACTTAAGAAATGACATGTCTTCGGTACATCCGCCAAACAAATCGCTCAAACAACGTAGGTCTCTTGAAATTTCAATTCTTTTACGTGCTCCAGCCAAATGAATCGATCAAGTGCAAGTGACAGTAATGCTTCTACCGTACGAACGCTGACTGGTCCTCTCGGAATAAACTGCGGAATGGACTGGGCTGGATTCACAGATTTATGAGTTGCTGTTTAGGAAACAAGTACTATAAAAGATGTGCAGGTACCGAGATTTACCCAAACCGCCTTCACCAGCAACATTCGGTACTGAGTGACAGATTTTTATTTACATTATTATTACAAATTTACTGTTGAATAGTCTATGCCACGCAAAGTGACAACGATTTTAGATGACTAAGAAATCGTTGCTTTTGTCAAGTTCATTTTCAAGAAAAATTTTAGCGAGAATTTGTTTTAGACGTGTTTCTACATGAACATTCGATGTGAGTTGGTCATTCAGTATATTTGCTTTACCACATGTGCAAGACAGTCATTACCGCAACAATCATTAAGAGTGATTTCGTGAGTTTCTGTACAAAATAAGATTATCCAGATCGAATTCATTCCTTTCACTACCGAAGAAAGGCAAAGGGAAATACCCAGCCTTCGTGTTCTTACGCACTTGCTGAGTAACTTACTTTTGCAAGAGCGAAACTCTCTCAACGAAAACCCATTTTGGTGTACAAGCAGAATTCACGAATGTTGAATGCAAATCTCAGTGTTTTCAGATTGTTACATTTACGTGTGTCATTATCGAAGACAACTTTTTATGAAGACGTCAGTGTTCAGTTATAACCGTCCAAGAAAAACATAAAATATCATAGGCCCAATCTGGAAAGGTGCACAGCTGCATAAGGTAACTTGAGTATCGAATGTTGAATGTTGCATGCAAAACTGAGGCATGTTATTTCCAAATCAATCATTCATTGGCAATTCTGCCGACATTTATAGATAAAACTATGTTTCAATAAAGGCTCTATTTTCTTTGAAGGCAGCGTCCACCCAGAATTTGTCCCCCCCCCCCTGTTTTCGTCATTGTGGGGCCCTTCCGTGGCCCTGATTACAGTTATGAACTTCAAACTCTCCAAAATTCACAAAAAAAAACCCGATTCCTGAGGACCCTGTCATGAAGGCGCGGACTAGTTTCGAATCGCTCGTTCCCATCGGCATGGCAGCGGGGAGGAGCTGAAACTGCATGGGTGCAATTGCAGCAGTGTGCAGCTCCTGCTCACTGCCATGTCAGTACGTGACGAGATGGCAGATCAGAGCTGGGCGGAGTTTGATATCAGACTCCGCCCAGCCAGGGACTTTCAAGCCCCTTATCTCCATTCAGAGACAACTTTAGAAAACCGGACCAACGCAGATGCCCCGTTTCTGGGGCCTACATTCAGGTTCGACACTAATCGGAGGGGGTTAGGTTTAGCCTGGACACTGCCTGTAAGGCCGTGAACGCACATATGCAAGGATCCAAAAAAAAACGTACAATATTTACTCAGTGATAACTCTTTAAGTATTATTTTACGAAGTTAGATGTAACTTGGAACTAGTTTACGGAATTAGACTAAATCTGGAACTCTAGAGCAAATGAACGCTCTTCACCACCGCGACAAGGGGTAACTACTGGTGCATCAAATCATAGTAGCTGGAAGTCAAAAAACTCTACAGAATACTCGTGCAGTGGGGTTTTCCCATACTAATGCACATTGCACAAGTTTGAGAGTGTGACTATCAAGTAATAAACTTTTGAAACCTATAGAATGATAGGTTGATCCGAAAGTTCGTTAGCACCACTTTCATTGATTCATATGTGTTTAGCTTTCGAAAAATTTGCAGGTTTTTAGATTTATCTAGAAGACGAAACTATGTGCAGCAACATATCAAAAAGTCCGTAACATGCAAACATTGCAGAGAAAGAAGCTGTAGAAGAGAGTTACTCAAACTTGGATTTTTTTGTGCAGGGTTGCCAAAAATCTGAATCTTGCACTAAAAATCGGAACATTTGGTATTATAGGTTTTATGACCTGCTTTCTCCATTTAAGCAGATGACTAGCCTTTCTATAGAAAGTCATATTCTTTGAAGCAATGCAAAATAGCAAATTTGATTTTTTTGGCATTCTTTTCGAAAATTATAACTTTCGAAAGGTTTTGCATTTGTCAACCCTTGACCTCAACTGAAGTGATCGAAAGCAACATATTGAGACTCTTAAAATGGAAAAGAGTCAGTCGGTTGTACTTCCACTTTTTTTGTTTGTAAACCCTTACGGTAAGCAAGTTGGATGTTGCAAATTTCTAAACTCACGCAGAAATAAATGGTGGTACGAGAAGGCTTTCATTTTTGCTGTAATTCAAAACGCAGCTTTTCTGCTTGTGCAATAGGATAATTTACGGCGAATTAGTGGTTGTCGAATGCCTTGCCATGCTTTCATAAATTTTGAAAGCGCATGTACCAATCGTAAGGATAGCGACTATTCTGCTCCGAATGGAATAAAATAGTTCAAAAGGCCTCATCACTTTTTCTGATTATACACACATTTTTTCAATTTTTCAAGGAAAATTAGCGACATTTTTTGCTCCATCACAGGCCGTTATGAAGTGCAAGCACAAGAATTAGAAGGATGATTACGAATCGACGAAAAAAAGTGTACAGGTTAGCATTCTCACAAAAATAATCTAGCGTTTATTTTGCTGTCGCCTGAGCTACCGAACATACAGTGAAAAAATTATAATATTCAGGTTGGCGACTTTCTCTCTGATGTCCTTTCTTCGAGTTTTCAATGTCAGGTCTGTAAAATTACACAGAATCATGAAGCACTGCACGACATTTTAGGACCTAGTCAGCAACAAACATTTGGCATCATTTGCTATCTTAGAAGCAAAAAACATTTAATATCGGTGCTTGGCATTTTTTTATATTTATAAAAAGCTGGCGAGAAAAGTTCATGTAGTTTTCAATCATCTAAACATCGGCAAAGACTATGGTTCTGGAAGAGATTCCCGAATGGTTGATAGCTTAAAAGTCGACGTACGTCGAGGCGCGTGCAGTGTGCATGTTACCAGCAATTCCAGCAAGTCCGCTTTTGATTTTCTTTACAACTCATACCTCAAATTCTTTCTCTTTCTTGAATTTTTCTTGAGTCGAGTCCATTTTCATGCTTCAAAAATGGACAATAACGGGGTGGATCAAGGAGAATTGCAAGATTTCCGGTCAGTAAACTGTACGGGGGACAGTTTCTCCTAATTAGTGACAATCGCCTCGTAACCGAATAGAAGCGGCTTTGAACTCCTTGGCAAGCTTGTGATAAGCAACTTTTAGTAAAGGATACGCTAAGTTTTTATCCTACCTTCGATGAGCTTTTTTTTTTACAAATTAAGAGTTCCATGAAATGTTATGATTTGCTTATAAAATATAACAAAATAATTGGCTTATTTCGGAAATCATATGTAGCTATAGAGAGACACTTGATTTAATACAAATCTGGCTCAGTTAAAAAAGACAGTCGGAGAATTAATATGATAACTTTATGGCAAACTTTTGATATACAACAAATAAAGTGATCTTCTTCCTTTCAACATAATTATGCTTTTTTCCTTGACAGCTGCTAAGTTAACGATTTCCTCTTTATCAACTCAATGCCAAGCAATTCATTGAGATCGGCGAAAGCCTGATATCAAAACAGGTTCTGCAATTTCGACGAATTTGCGCGGGTTATGTAGTTGGTATATTGGAAATACGTATGTACGATATGACTTTATTGTTATAGCTCCCTCTCCCAGGTTTCGCGGATATTTATGAAATATTGCGGGTAGTTCATCAAACTGCAAAAAAACTGAGTAGTGACCGCCTTATACACCCATAATTAGCAGTAATTTAGCCAACATTTCAAAAATCTAGGAAAAATAAATAAACAGTAATTATGTAACTCGTACAAAAAAGCCTTACATTCCATATATTCAGTATACCACTTTGAAACGTTTTTATACGTTCGAGTCTTTCAAAGATATTCTTCAGATCTCAGGCTATATCTTTTGCTTCTCTCAGATGTCCAATTGATTCATAGTAGCTCAAACACCTGCGTGAAGCTTTCGTTTGCTTGGCATCGTAAATCATAGCTGTAGAGCATCTGATCTCATTCCAGAAAAGATCATGCTTCCGCTAATCAAGTTGCTGATGCTGATGCTTCTGTTGCAAGTTACGGTAGAGGGGAGCAAAATGTCTAAATATATCGGGAGATGCCTCGGGCATCCGCTGGATCATCCAAATGCTCACAGTGTCTGCTTTTCGGAATGCAGAACTCAGGTAAGTCTTAATCTTGTATTCTAACGCAATAAATCGGTTTGCTTCAGAAGTGCAAGAAAGGCGCCTGCAGTGGACCTAAAACAGGCTTTCCTGACTGGCGTTGTATATGTTACAACTGTCCATAGTTATAGAACAAGCCAGGACGAATTTTGGAAAGGTCATCCTTGTTGAAAACGTCTACATAAACACTTCAGCATTTACATACGAGTTTACTGAAAACCATCTGTAGTTTTTGAAAGATAGTTCTACTCTACTAGATGCTCATAAGAATTTTGTTGATGGACTGTGTACCCTTCAACATCAAGGTCAAGCTTAGGTTTCCAAAATTTAAGTGAAAACCATTGAAAGCTCTGATTGAGACACAGCCGCGGCTCAAGTGTCTTACATGAGGAAGCTGGTTATGCAATCTGGGTAGAGGACAAGAAGTTGCCAATAGGCTCCACCCCCTACGAGCTGTGACGGACAGATGTGCGCAGTTGTTGCAGATGTATCCTGTATTCATCTCGTAAACGCTCATAGTTATTAGGGTATAATTTTTATGAGCTGCGTTTCGGGCAGTACAATACCACTCTCATAACGTGCAAAATTTCCGTGAATGCCGCGAAATTCCGAAATTTCCGCGAACTTTCCGGAATTTCGCGAAATTCCGGGAATGTCGCGATATTCCGGGAATGTCGCGAAATTCCGGGAATGTCGCGGAATTTTCGGAATTTCGCGACATTCACGGAAATTTTGCACATTATGAGAGTGGTATTGTATCTGGCTGATAAAATGATAAAACAGTAATTTTCTCATCTGCTGCTAGCAGGTGAACATTAGAAACGGCTTGTGAATTTTTTCTCTCAAACCTTCGTGCTGAAGTGATCTATAAGCTTTTCCACAGTTATGACAATGTCATATGTTCGAATGCATGTATGAAGCAAATCTTATAATATCCGCTTACATGTATTACTCGACGTGTTAACAACATTTCTTATATTGTTTTGTTGCAGGTTGCACATTGTAGGATAGGAATATCTGCCCAATTACATGACTTTCCAATTTGAAAGACAATTCATGAGAAGGCGATTTTGTAACATCATAATCTGGCGAAAAATGCAGATAAAAATCTGCGCTAAGCATGATCCGGTAGAGGTGTTCACATAGTTTTAAATTCGCAAAAATATGCAGACAATTTCCGCAATAGATAGGCAAAAAGTGCAGGCGAATTTGCGATTTTGGTGAGTTGAGCCACTTCTATCCCACTTCAGCTTTACTCTAAGACTCTCTAGTGCAAAATAAATAGGATTTTCGTAAAGATCGGGACCAAAAACCACTATGAGCGAAGTTTCCGGTCAATCCGAGAACCTCAATATTTTGAACCAAATCTTGCGCCGAGGCCAAGAGTGAGGAGCGAGAAAAAATCAAGTGCTACTAGTTCCTTAGAAAATCAAACCATGGATGTTATCCGACCCATTGATTACAAAAAACACATCTGATTAGCGAGATAGCTTCTTTCTGTAGGACTACGGTGGATAGATTTTAGAGGAATGTGGATTTTTTCGAAATTTGCTAGCTCCGCCCACTTTTGGCCCCGCCCACACCCAAGTCTCCACCCACTTCTCCCCCACCTTCCCATTCCAACCCATCCATGCCTGGGCCACTAACCCGCCACTAACCACCAATGAACCACTTCTGACCGATTTATATATAGAGATCATCAAATTAAGAAAAATCTCCAGATACTATAGGGCAGCGCCCCTTCACATTTATGCTGCTGTCCAACTTTCTTCATCAGCTGATAGCGCATCAAAAGTTGTATCGAAATATTGCTATGCCAGCGCCTTGATTATTCTCCTGGAATTATCATTTCATTTTGATCTATCATAAAGTTTTCCGAAAAATTGTCAAGTCCAGAACCGTTCTTAGATCAGCCTCTTGTGTATTTAACATCCATTTCTTCTGTAAATTTTTTGGTTTAGCCCCTTCGAATATAAACACAAATACGGGTATCCGGACATTTCGTTCCCATTTTCCACAAAGATATGCATAAAAATGTAAATTGGCTTTCTTATAAATCTTCGCTTATAAAAGAGTTCAAATCCCGCTTTTATCATAGAAAGAAAGAGCTCACAAAGTTGCATATAAATGACTTCATAGCATTTGCCCATCAGCGCTAGTCGCGGTGATATGCGGTCACTCTCGCACCGTAATTAGCAAATCTCGCACCTCGGCTGTCAATTACAATACCACTCTCATAACGTGCAAAATTTCCGTGAATGCCGCGAAATTCCGAAATTTCCGCGAACTTTCCGGAATTTCGCGAAATTCCGGGAATGTCGCGATATTCCGGGAATGTCGCGAAATTCCGGGAATGTCGCGAAGTTTCGCGAAATTCCGGGAATGTCGCTGAATTTTCGGAATTTCGCGACATTCACGGAAATTTTGCACATTATGAGAGTGGTATTGTACCTCATCTAAGCTCTTCCAATGAGTTTGCATAGAGTAATGGTGCAATTTTTGAATTATAACATTTGAGACAGCATTAGCGCGGTCGCTTGCTCTAGACTATACTCAGTGTCTTGTGTGATAGAGTTCGTACTAGAAGGCTTGATCTGGGTCTTTGTCAAATGAATGTTCAAATGTAAAGAGCCTCACCAAATAGTCAAAAAATTCTGTGTTACCTTCATTCAAATGTAGTTTAATCGACCTTGCACTTATAGCTACACTTATATCGTTGAGTTCATCGCTTATCATAAGGCAATTACAGATGAATCTGAAGATCACAAAGCCAACTCTTTCAAGTCTTCAGAAATTGTTCAAGAATGGTGCGCAATATCTCTTTATAGAAGACGTCTATCGATTGGTGAACACATATACTACGAAAACGAGAGTAAAACTTCAAAAATTCGACATTCTAGCTAAGAGTCACTAATAAATAAGTTCCATTTTGAGGACATTAAAAAAAGTAAGTGAGTAAGTTGAAGCTACTAAGCAATTTGACTTACCAAAACTGGACTAATACAATATGGACCTCAAACTCTTCGGAGATCTCATCAAACGTCAGCAGAATAAATTAACAATACTGAGCACAGTATTGGCTCCTCTTCAAGTTTAGAATATATCAGGTTGACGGGTAATTTCTGCTACACTTTCTTCTATTTTTTCTGAAAAATCAGAAGCTTCTTGAAAAACTTATATTTGCGGCATTAGAATGTAGCAGAGTCTACTCACCAGCATTATTTATGCTGCAAATGCATAAATTACCAACAAGCTTATGACACCTTTGACAGCTCATTCTCTGATTTTTTTTTCTTTGTCTCTACTTGTGCTTTTCCTGTTCTCCAATTTCCCTGAAATGTATTCCGGCGCTGCCTCTTATAGGCACGAACGGTGATGGCACACCGGAGCCACTTCGGGTGCCATTGGAGTTTAGCAAGGGGTGAAAAAATATCAAATGTTGAAGCTCTCCAAAATTCTTTCAGTGTGCATCGTGTAAAAAGACCTACTTTTGAGCCTTCGACGAAAACGATTTTGTGGAATCGTAAGGCCAATAAATTACACCACCGTACAAACTGGCACTGACGTTAATCATCTGACAATATTACTACCGTTTCCAAATGTTCCGGTTCAAAAGCATGGAACATGCTTACAAATGATTTTTGAAATTTCTTGAAGATGTTTCTTTCTTAGAATGTCGATAATTGCAAAGGTGGCGCACAATGACATTTCAACATTTTAGACGAACGTCTGTAAATGTATGTCATCTCCATACTTATAAAAACTATGGATGCTCTATCCGATTATTACTGTCTAGCCCCTAGACGTTCACCTGATAGAAATGCCAGTTCGTTGAAAAAATATGTTCATAAATGTACACCCCCATAGGGTGAGTGTTTTGCGAATGGACCGCGGATGTAAATGTATCGTCGGGAAGAGCTTTGCACCTCTTCAACATGCCTTGAACGTGCCTTTTGAGAACCTCTGAGATTTTCAAGAATCAAAATAAAACATGAAACAGAAATTATCGTCAACCAATAAAATAGCCACTTGTTTTTACTTCATTTCTCAATAGCTAACACTTTTCGACTATATTCTCTAGTAGAGTAGTAAAAAGTGAGTGAAACTTATCGGAAATCAAATTGAAAGTAGTAATCAGACATTGGATTAGATGACAAATAGTAACTAACGGCTGCTTTATCTGCAAATAGCTGCAAAAGGATTGTTTTGATACATCATGACCCGTAGTAAACCCCCGGCGACCGCGCGCGACATATCTTCCGACAACCGTATCTTGGTTTTCATCTACACTCAAAGTTTGGTTTTTCTTTGGTTTCTCATGGCTTTTCTGCTTACCTATGATAGTGTTAAGGCACTAAAAGTGACTAAAGTGGAGCTTTAAGGAGCTGCTTTTTGTGTGAGTGTTTCACGTTTTTGTGGGCGCTAGGACAGCAGTCAATTCGTCGTCACAATTTTGTGGATGACCTAATCACAATCAAGGATACACGTGCGCCACGCTCGCACTCGCTTGGCTAATATTAACTCTCGCCTTCATGTAGCAGTAATCTTTCTATCATCAGTTGTCACGAATGCAGAATAATAACTGACATCTACACAAGAAAAAAATACCTTCTTCCATACGAGATGTAGAAACATAAACACATTGTAGGCCTCTTTCGAGTTTTCAGGAATTGGCAAGGTGAATGGGCGTCATTTGGCCAAGGGGCTTAGCCGCTTTGCCCGACGTCTTTCGCCCATGCGGAGCTGTTGGCTCTTGCAGGTGCGGGGCTCTTTGGGTGGAGCACTACACGAACCTCGAAGCGCGCGCGTGTGGAAAACTGCTTTTGATGTAAAATGGATTTCTCATTGACCTCCGCACATCCGCCTGCCTACGGTTCGGTAACTTTCTCTCTCGGGGGAGAGTACGTAGCAGAAAAGCGTAGAGCGCCCCTTTTACGAGGTAGCAACTTTCGGCGCTGGCGCGTAAACGAAAATATTGTTGAATATTGGAATGACTGCAGTTACTTACACCTATTGAAAATTACATTGATTTAACTAACTGTGAATAATTCTCTGTTGCAAATATAGTAATACTAAATTCTTTGAAGCGACTAACAACATTAAAAATCTTCACACAAGAATATTACACACCAGACTGAGTTTACAGTTCGCTTAAGGCATCGTCCACCCAGTTTTT